CCCCCCCCCCCCCCAATTAGATTTTTAAAATTATTTTATATTAAAATTGTAATGTTACTATTTTGCCCATTTTATATTTGGTCAAAATCAATTATTTTGGTTAACTAACGGTCCATCCATTTGGATTTCAAGTGCAAATTAAAGGTTGTATCGTTGCTACTTGAACATTAAATTTTCATTGCTCAAAGCCAGAATCTCATGTTGATTTTCTTTCTCAAGACACTATTTTTTTTTTTCATAATACGGAGAACTGAACCTGTTCATAGCAAAGTATTAGCTCAATTATATCATTATCCCTGTTAATTGTTGTATTATTCAAGAAATTAAGTGCTTATTTTGGATGCAAACATTCTGGATGTGTTCGGTTTGATTCTTTCGATGGAAACATTATCTTTGGTACCTGAATTACTCATCATCACTTACATTTGGTGTTGAGCCTCAAGATACAATTTGCGAACCCAGCCAGCAACTCGTGGAGTATAACGCGCAGGTGATGTAATAAAATACAAAAGGCTCCCACAAAGCTCACAAAACATTTCCCTAATTCAGGCTGGCTACAGTCAATAAAAAGCAAACGGACCAATGAATAAAGCGTGATTCTTAATCGAATCAATTATTATAAGAACTAATAAGGAGCCACCATCTATCATTATCTTGAAATGACTCAATTACCCTAAGGCTTGGAGGAAAATTTATAAATACCATATCATTTGAAGAGAAATACATACAATTCAAATATCTCCTTCTCAAATAGCTATTTCCCTTTTTGCTCCAGTTTGAGCATTAAAGCTAGTGAGTTTAGGAAATGAAAATCTTAACTAAGTGAGTAGGATTTGTTGATCAAATTTCTATCATCAAAATTTTGTATTAGGTTTGTCTGTATATTTGAAAACAGACGACTATCAATTAAACTGAGGTGGGATTTTCTCTGTTCTCTGATTTTTTCCTTTTCTCTACAAGTAAGAATTGACTTCAAAAGTCGACTCTTGTTTTGCTGAGCTGTCACAGATGACAAACTTTCTCCTTCAGATATTTGTTCAAGTTGATGAAGCTTTAAGCTGCTTTATCAAATTCGGTGTGAGGATTTATTATTTAGGAGTTTGAAGCAATTGTTATGGAATTCAGCTGTAGATAAAGAATTCGTGAGTGGGAGATGGGAGCCTAAAGGGATGGATAGAGAAAGATTGAGGTTGTTGAAGACTAAGCTCCCGTTTGGTGCATATTTTGAAGGTAAGAATGTATTTTTACTGTTTGATGTGATGGGAAAATATGTGGTTGAAAAAGAAGGAAAATTTATTAATGTGATGGAAAATATTATTTTTTTGAAGAATGTGTGATTGAAAATGAGTAGAAGAATGAGAATGAAAAAAAATAATGTGGACCAAACAGAGCCTAAATTTCAATAAATAAATGTGTCCCCTCTCGGAGTTCAAGATATCAGAGCCAACAAAGATCAAAGTTTGAATCTCGCCGTTAATGAACATTTGGGCACTTCAGGCACACAATAAAAAATGAATCAGATGTTATGGGAGGGGGCTTGTTTAAAGACTGAATTGAATTGAAATGAAATGAATAAATAAATGTGTCCTCATCTAATTAGCGGTTCAACATAAATAAACTAAGGTTTCAGGCTAAAGGTTTCTAGGATGAAAATCTGTACCTTTCAGGGGCTACAAGCTGTACCTTTGCTAGTGTCAGTAGTTTACTTTCCAGGATCAGGTTGGATTTGGGGATTATTGCTTCTGGGATTAAATGACAACCTCTGCGAAAGATCGAATTAGAGAAGAGAGTTTAAATTAAAGAAAAGAGGAGTCTTGAGAAGGTTACACGGTTATTTTTAGGTCGGGAGATTTCCTATTTCTATTATGAAACATAATATGAAGTTTTGGAAACTCAACAATCAAGGCTACACTCTAAACGAGGACTCTACTAGACTACTAAGGATTTGTAGAAGTGAAACTACATGAAGTAAACTACACTAGACCCTTGAACCATGGGTAATATCCATGTCCAGACATTAGACATTAACACTACCCTGGACTTTAAAATATAGGACACCTAAAATGCTATTTATGCTCCTTTTTGACAGTATTCCCAGTGAGATCATGTGGGACTTATTTGTTTCTTCCTGAGGGAGCTAGCATGATTATGATATGATTCTTTGTAAGGAATTTTTGGTAATCTACAGTGTAATACACTGAAGAAAGTATAATTGATGTGAAATACATGACTTGAACACTGAATACAATCAAACAAAACACCTCGGTGTAATTACAAACATCATCAAATTGACAAAATTATAGAAACCCAAAACCAAATGAACTGAAAGAGATGAAGTACTAAGCTCACATAAAACATTTAGGCAAAGGCGATGGTAAGAGTAAAAAACGTCATAGAAATGACCAACGAAGGCGTATATAACAGTGCTGCTGCATTCTTTTTGGGTCGACGTTGATTCACCTTTGGACTACCATAAGGTCCTCTCCCCAACCGTCCCTTTTCTGTCCAGATTATTTCACGTTCTGCTACAAATTCTTTGTCATGAGCATGTGCATCATAATCCACTTTTCTGCTTGTGCCTGCATGTCAAACATTGAATTGAATTTGAACTTTAAATGGAACTGAATCTCAATATAAAACACGAGGTCAACGGATTATTTCTTACTGTGATTTTCTTGCTCTAATTTCTGGGGATTTGCAAGAACCAAGCTTGGTAGGAGTATTTGAGCATATGACAGAATGAGAATCCATGCAAGATAACTCTTTTTCATGTTTAATGGGGTTCTATGGGGGCAGGAGGAAAATTATGGGAGTACAAGGCTTGGATTTTGTTGAAGGATGAGGGGTGTTATATAGGGTCCGCAAACTCGTGGGAACTAAAATCTAAATAGTCACAGAAAGTGATTCCAAGTTGGCAGAAAATGTGGCTTAACTCCGTTGACAGATCGGCTTGATGAAATTAAATTTTAAAGAGCTCTAGAGAATATTAAAGAAGAAAATTGCTAAAATCTTGTTTGTTAATACAGTCCAATCGTGTCATGGCATACCAAATATAGATAAGTGAATAAATTTGTCCATTCTCTAATATCTCAAACATCGTAAATAAGGCAGTTTAGCGTGATACTGTAATAATTGAGTACTGTGTCCTGCTGCCATACATTTTATTTATGATTTTGTACACATGTTAAGGGTTTGAATCATGAATTCAGTCTACACGTAAAGGGTTGTATTGAAACAGCTTTAAATGAATAAATTAATCTCCTGGCTGGTAACCGAAACTTGAGATAACTAGCTTAACACCTCTCGCTGGTTGACAATACTTTTTGCCGAAACAAGGATAAATACATTTTCTCTAGTACTGTTAATTGAACAATGTCTTCGTTTCCACTCGAGCGTCGTCCTTTTATTCAATAGCTAATGACTTTAATCGAGTTGAACCAATCTCGAGTATCATCATCCTTTCATCCTAATGATAAACGACTTTTAATCGAGCTTGATGAGTGTGCTTTACACACGAGTTTCCTACCATTCTAGCTTCATTTGGTTGCTTCATTTGTTAATTATAGAACGAATTTAATGTATTTGCTAGTATTTTGGTTGAATGAATGATAAAATGATGAAAAAAAGATGTGAAGCAATGGAAGAAAAAAAAGGACCAGGCGCTGCACCAGCAGCAGACCAACAGAACTGCAGCACTGCCTGAGAAGACTTCGCAGCGCCTAGGCATTGCACCGTAAAATTTAGGTTTTATTTTTTTGGGCTATGAAAAGCCCATGAATAAATCTCCAACTTGACCATAAATGTGAGGAACTATAAATAGATTGTGGAAGACACGAAATAAGGGTTCCACACCTTGCAAAATAAAGATAAAAATACAATTTTGAAGACAATTTGACACGAAGAATTACATCAAGGATTCAAGCTAAATCAATGGGTTGGAAGTGGAAAGAGATCTTGATGCAAGAGCTAATCATTTTTCAACTTTTGTATCATTTAAATCCGGTGATGTATTCGAATTGTGTTATTTATTTCTTTGTTTTGATTATGAGTAGCTAAATTTTCTATTAGAGCAAACAATGTAACTTATTGAGGCCCTTAGTTGTTGGATTCAAGAATTTCTAAGTTTTTATTCTTCCATGTGTTGNATGAATTCCTAGTGACATAACTCGTTTAACTAAGGGTAATTCGTATAGAGATATGGAATTGAATTAGTTGAATAGACTCAACGAGAACTCGAGAGGGGTAAGTTGAATACCGTAGGAGAATTCGACTGAACACTACATCAGGCCAAAATCTTGAGTTTGGAACTAAGGTGATCAATAAGTGAAATTGTTTTGCCCTAATACATTCTATATACGTGAAACTTCAATAATTTGTGTTTGTCATTCATCATAATTCTCATTGCTTTCGTTTCAAAAATCTATTCTCATTTAGTTGATTCAGAAAAATCTATTCTCACAGCACTCATCGTTTTTTTTTATTTGCTATTTTTGTTAAGTAGTAGTAAAAAAAATATATTAAGTACTAAAAGTTTAGTCATCGTGGGAACGATATTCGGACTCAAAGGTCCATTTTACTACTTGTTACAATATCGTACACTTGCGATAGAAAAAACACAACAGAGCTCAACACCAGTCAAACTTAAACCAGTATAATAATTGATAGCATCCAAACATTATGGTGATATTCTGGTACATTCATAGTATCTCAGCAGATAAGCTAGATGCACATCCAAGCTGAAATTGACAAGACATGCTGATCTATTGCCACTGCTGGGAGTTCTTAGTTTCTTTTTTAAACTTGTTTTGGACACAACCAAATGAAATCTATTTTTTGTTACATTGTGGTTCTAAAAAGCTGAAAAGTCTGGCCTTAGATTTGGTATAAAGCAAAAAACATCTCTTTCTTTAGTGTAAAATGAATTGGAATATAATAAAGATTATAGAAGTCTTGTTTAGAAGCAAGAATAAGATACTCTCCTTGTTTCTTCTAACTTGTAATCCAGATTTTAGAAGCACCTCGTAGGAATTCTTGATAACTGGATTCCTTATGTCACAAAACTAATTCGAGTATCTTAGATTCGAGAAGGCTGGACCTCTACATGGGACCTTTGGGCTACACTGTGTCATGCCTTGCTCTCCAGATCTGTGACTCTTGAGAACCATATTTTCTTTTCTATAAAATCAATTAAATAGAAAAATAAAAAAAATTGTTGTGCTTGGTGACCTGCCTAATCTGTGTTGTGCTAAGCTCTTCCAAAAGTACGATGTGAACCTTGGGTCTCTGTCCAATACAATTGAAACTGGTATACCGTCCAACTTCACCACTTCCTTAACATACAACTGTGCAAATTGATCAATAGAAAATGTCATGTGAACTGGTAAGAAATGAGTAGACTTGGTTAGTCGGTCAACGATCACCCAAATGACGACATTTTACCGATTTCAACAAACCTACAACAAAGTTCATCATCACATGTTCCCATTTCTATTATGGAACATCTAATGGCTGCAGCAACCCCGAGGCATACGGAATTGGTACGAATCGAACACGGTGATCCTATGTACATTTTGTTGCGTTCTTTAGTTTTTGCTAGTCTTTTTGCTATAAATATAAGGTTTTCTACCTTTGCTTTTTTCATGTATTCTACGCATTTCATTGCAAAAGATTTAGAAGAAGATTAAGCCCTTATTTGGTAAGGATTAAAATCACATTTTTAGTTGATTTTGATAGAATGTGTAGTTGAAAAGTTGTGAGACTCATAAAATATGTAGTTAATATCAATTGTTGACTTTGACTTAGATTAAAAATCTATATTTTAATTTCCACCAAACATGGACTAACTATTTTTCTTTAGATAACTTCGCGGTCGAGCAAATGGTCTCTAAATTATTCAAGATAACAGTAGTTTATTCCACATCATACCTAAAAATCTAGTAAACAAACCATTAAATATTATTCTATCGTGCATGTTGATTGTGTTGCGCAACCAATTTTTTTATTCTCGAGTGACATAAATTTATGGCTTTTGAGATGTTAGATAAATAGAAAATAAAGACTTGTTAATGCATGCAAAACGACGTTCTATCAACTCATGTTTCTGATTGAATACATTCATCTACATTCATCGTTAAAAACTAAGCTCAAATTTATAACTACTTAATTGAAAAATACTTAAGTAGTCACTCGATCCATTTTTTAGGACAACGATTCCATAATTGAATTTATGTTCTCTACTTCACTCGTTTTCAAGTTCCCATCTTATTGAAATATTTGATTAATCAAATTAATCTCAGTCATTAATAAAATCAAAAAGCTATTAAACTCAAGAAAAATATACATAACGTCACAACCCTATCAAGTGATTTAATTGAGATATCATGCAATCAGTATAAATATAATTCTATGCGTAATCATGCCAGAGAATTGAACTCGACACGTAGTCATTTCAATACATTACAAGTGTATTAGTGTCACCATTCAACTATTTCCTTAATATGGTTAAATAGCAATTATGATAGTAAATTAGTCGACACTGTAACATTTCAGTACAAGGTGTCCAAACCTTATACAAGGTGTAAATAATTTATTAATAATCAAAACATAAGTTATGTGATATCGAAACACCCAACGTAAGGGAGTGTTTGACACCCATTTTAGCCCCTGTTTGTCTACTATTTTTCAAAACATTGTTTTCTACAGTAATCAATCTCCACCATACATTCAAATAATAAAATATTCTACACATAAACCAATAAAGTTTCTTTCAATTTTAACCACACATTCTCCAAAAAATATTATTCAAAACATCATCCTTTCTCCCATAATGGGAGACAAACAAGCTCTTAATGTGTTGAAAAATTTTGGAATAGTGATTGATGAGAGAATGTGTGGTGGAAAAGTGATGAAAAGTTTTAGATTTGTGTGTAATATTATTTTATTTGGAGATTGTGTGGTTGAAATGAAAAAAGAGAATGAGAATGAAAAAGAGAGAGAATGGATGCCAAACATGGGCATATTAGCACAAATGATCATAAGCATTTTTATTTACGTTCTCAATAATTCTCCACACAGTTATGTTAATGCAAACACCAAACTTATCCCCGTTTGGTGCACATTTTTGGGAAAAAAAAATGCATTTTTACTGTTGATGTGGTGGGGAATATGTAGTTGAAAAAGAATGAAAAGTTATTCAGGTGATTGAAAATATTATTTTATTGAAAAATGTGGTTAAAAATGAGTAGAAGAATGAGAATAAAAAAAATAATGTGGTTCAAACAGGAACTCAATATTAAATAAAAGCAATAACACGAAATAAATAAAAACACAATTTTTTATTATAAAATTATTATTTTACAATAACAAAATTACTACACACAATCCAAAGACCTACAAACAAGTACTTTATTAAGACGAGGATGACCTTCATAAACCTATTGGACCACAAGAAATGAAGAAAACATAGACGGAAAAGATAAACGATAAACTATTCAAACGAAATGGAAGTACGCAGTTCATAACTTCGTGAAAATCAAATAACATCAACAGATTGTTCTGAAGATCATGACATTTAACTGATGAAGAAAAAGAAATCAGGCGGATTTTAGGTTTGATTTCCGAGGTGATTTTGGTAATTCAATGTACGCAGCTGCCTTTGGTGGTGGTCCTGGGGGTGGCTTCGGAGAAGGTGGGGATGGGATCGGCGGCTTTGGTGGCCTTGCTAAGTTTGTTACTGTTACGTACTCGTTACACGATGAATCTGGACCATCAC